ACAGTAGAAAGGTCTCATGTACTCCCTCGGGAGTACATGGGGGGTACCTCCTCCATTGCCCTTAGGACTCATTTCTGACCCTGGGAGTCTGGGCTCCCTGCGGTCTTCCTCCTAAGTGGGGCCCTGTCAGGAGCCTCACCGGCTCACACTGCCAGGCCTTTGCCCAGGAAGTATTGCTACACAGGTGGTAGCTGTGGTCTAGTGTCTGTCACTGCAGAATCCCCAGCGATGGCCCCAGGAATTTCAACAAGCTCCCCACATAATTTTATGGCCACTAACATTTGAGAAATTCTCTTTCTGTGTGATTTTTTTCATATCCTGTGACAAAGAAGAGGGAAAACATGTTGGAGCATCCTTCAGAAGCAAACCCAACCATTTTTAAATTAGTTTTCTTTCATTTAATAATCTATCTTGGACATCATTCATATGAGTGGTACATCTGCCTCATTCTTTTAATGGCTACATCCTATTTCACTGTGAATATATACTATAATGTACCTAACTAATATTTTTCTGACTGTGATATTTTCTCTAACTGTAAACTCAGTAATAGCTTGTATATCATGACCGGTATAATTTTTGTCTTATTTTTAAAATGAAAGAAATTAGAAAGGAGTGTTTGTGAAATTTTCTTTTTTTTTTCTTTCAGTTTTCCATGTGTAGGTATACTAGTTGAAATGTTAAAAATTGTTTCTTAGTTCAGGCTGTGGTCAAAAGTTGGAAAGCCATAGATATAGAGAACTATGGATATTTAAAGTATCTGTCAGGCACCCAACATTGGAACTTGTGTTATCTTTCTGTGGGTGAGTTCATAATAACTGCTGAACTTACTTTATGTGGCCACATGCAAAAATCAGGACTTTAAAAAATGTATTATTGCTCAGCCAGCTTGGCTCAGTGGTTGAGTGTTCGACCTATAAACCAGGAGGTCATGGTTCGATTCTTGGTCAGGTCACATGTCCAGATTGTGGACTCCATCCCCAGTGTGGGGCATGCAGGAGGCAGCCAGTCAATTATTCTCTCTCATCATTGATGTTTCTCTCTCTCCCTCTCCCTTCCACTCTGAAATCAATAAAAATATGTTTTAAAAAATAAATAAGAATACAAATAAAAATGTGTTATTAGTTTGGCCTATGCCTTGTAGTTGAAGGCGTGCTGCATAGAAAATGCCTGGTTTGATCTTGGGTCTGTAGATACTATAACTTAAGAGTTGAATGGAGAGTCTTGTTGGAGTTCACTTGATGTTACTCTAAATACAGCCTTTTACTGAGGAAACTGGCCTGGTGTGCGTGGTGTTGGCCTCTGACCAACACCTTACAGGAATTTTCTGGCATTCCACCATGTATACCTACAGAACATCGGGCAGGTTCTTTGGCTCCACCTCTAGAGCTCAGAAAGCTGAGCCTTTAAAAGATCCTTTCCGAAACCTTCTCCTCTGGGTGTCAGGCTTCCTATTTGGGGGCTGCTTGTTCATCTTGTTTGTGAACTTAAATTTTCTCGAAGTCACATGCCTCTGAGCTGTGCCTAGATCGACTTTCTGTTTAACGTTTGACTGGGGATTTCACTGGAATAGGATACGAGCTTTGGCGACATATCTGAAGCCTGTGAATTTCTGTTCCACCCCCAATTAAAAGCTGTGACAACATAACCTGAGAGTTTTCTAAAATTGTGTGCCATGAACGGGTTTTACCCACAAATTTCAGGCTGTGAATTTCTAACTGTGCTAAAACATTTAATATTGCCTACAACCATTCAAAAAGTTCTAACAGGGCAAATTGTGGCTCCCTTTCTAAATTTCTTGAATTTAGTGATTGCAAAAGATTAATATCCTTTCTAGCATTTTATTTTTCTTATTGTAGAAATATAAAGAAGGAAAGCTGTTTTTTTTTAAACCAATCCCCACGTAGGTGTTGCCAAATCACCTCTACTTCAATTCAATGTGTTGTATAAATATCATGTACTGTGTTGTTCCGTGATGTGAAAAATATTGCAAGCACCAACAGAATTTATTGGGGGCCGGATATTAAAATCACCTGTAGAGCCTCGTAAGGGCATGTGTGTTCTCTCCCCAGCCAGACCTGAATCAGAACTACAGTGGGGTGTGGGACAAGGGCCAGGCAGGCATGTGTTTCCTAGACAGTAGTAAAAATATGCTAATCGTGTTTTTTCACTGTTAGTGCTCTTCTCTTTTGACACCTCAATCATGTTGCTCTCTGCCTGTTTTCTGGGCAACTGGGACTTTTAGTGACTTCATTCAACCTTTCTAGAAGCTTTCAACCTTTCCCAGTCTTCCTTTCTGCCTCCTTGTCCTGAAACAGCGGGGGCCTATATCTCCCCATCCCCCAGTGTACTCTCCGAATACCTGTGCTTGTCCCCAGGGCTGGGCCTCCTGTGCCATGAGAGCTCCTTGAGGGCAGGTGTTGTCTTCATGGTCCTCAGTAAAGTCTATTGATTGAATGAGTTACTGAGCGCAGGGCAATAGGAAAAGCAATGACTACGGGCTCCCTGGCCCGCTAGCTAGTGCAGAGGGGGAAGGAATGAGCCCGTGTGAGGAGCTTCCTTTGGTCTTTTCCTAGGAAGAAAGGTTTGGCCATGCCAGAGACAGACAATGGTCCGTCAGGTCCCCAGGCAGTCAGGAGCTCCCTAAAGCAGGTTCAGTGGCAGAATCTGAACTAGGATCAGGTGTCCCTATAGGCATTTGGGCAGTTTATCTCTGGTATGAAGCAAGAGTAGCAGGGCAAGAGGTCATCAGAGCTGGGCCAAGGGGTAGTGACCCAGCCCTGCCCCGTTAGGTCTACCACAACCTAATTAATCTGTTAACTCATTTAAATATTAAATATAATAGTCCAGTGTTTGGCAAACTAGTTCATGAATCAGCTCACACTTGTGAGGTTTGTTGTTTCCACGCCACTTTCATGTATGTTACCTCCTTTCAGCTTCCCGCCCACTCTGCCGCCTGCTCGGGAGGTAGGTAGTGTAGGTGCCTCTGTTCTCTAGATGTGCACACTAAGGGGAATTCACAGATGCCTGAGAGGCACGTCTGGGAGTGAGCCAGGTCTTCGGACTGCTCACCCAGTGCTCCCTTCCCTGTTCCTTCAGAGCCTGTCAGTCTTGGCAAGTATATACTCAGCACAGCAGTGAGACCCAGGACCCTTTTTGGAGGAAACAGGAGGTGAATATTCTTCGGAGATCCGAGTTTAGATCGGAAGCCTCCTAGGATTTACAAATCAGATTTCCTTGTTCTCTTTGAAAAGTGTCTTTAGTCTACTCTGAAAAGCTTGTC